GAGCCGGAGGGTGTGGGGAGGTGATGGGGTGTGGAGTGGGGGTCCTAAAGGGGCGCAGAAAGGAGCAGGGGCTTGAGGCGGTGCGGGTTGTGGGGCTGGGAAGGGTGCATGCAGAGCAGCACGCGTGGAGGGTGGAGAAGAGGGCAGATTTCGGGTCTCTGGGGCACGGGTCCCTTCTTGGTGGCACTTGGTGGAAGCGGGGTGACATGTGAGCAAGCTCTAGCAAAGGGCGTCGAGCTGGGGTTGTTCCTCAGGGTTGCAGCTGGAGGGGAGAAACGGGGACGGGACCAGGCCCTGGCAGATGATGCCACCGTGTAGAGTGTCCTTGGGTGAATCCTGAGGCTGGGGGGGATTTCAGGCAGTGAGGATAGAGAATGATCTGTCCCTGCATGATGAGGCTGCGCTGGGGAAGGAAGGAGCCCTTGGGTGTGCAGCTGGGAGTCCTGTCCTGTTTTGCATGTGTGTTTCCTGGAGAGTGCCTGTTGCAAGGATGCTGTGCTGCATTAATGCAAAGGCTCGGGGGGGGGCATTTTTTTTCAGTAGTGCCTCAGTTCTGTGCTGCTGTGGCCCTGTTGTGTTAGGCTGCGACTCTTACTCTTTACTCCTTGTCTTTTTCCTCACATCAGTGTGGCTCTCTGTCCCCTGTTTGTCAATCCAGCGGCTATCCCACCCTCCAGGGGCCTTGCTGTGCTCATCTGCTCTCTAAATAGTGTGATCCTGCCAGGTGACTCTGTTGCCAGTACATGAAGTCATGTATATTTTGTTGTTGTTGTTTGTTTTCTGTTTTTAATTCCAGTGAGGGCATCGGGATGAAGAGTTTAGGTCTGTCAGAGTGGCTGCCTGCCATGGGCAGTGGGATCTGTTCAAATGCATTAAACCTTGCAGGAATGAATTCATGCCTTATCAGCACTATCCAGGAACCCTTGGACAGTACAAAGGCTGCACCTAGAAAATGTATATCAAAGCATTCTTATTTCTTAGTTCAGCATGGGATGTTCCCATTGTCCCAGTAACTTAACGTTGTTTTTTTGGAGACAGGCTAAAAAAATGGCATTCATACTTCCCTTCTACTCCTCTACTGACATAGAGTCCTCATGGATGTTTGTGTATTTCATGAATGGTTTGCAAAACTTCGCTGTTAATTATTTATATTATTGCCAGGTTATGATCCTGGCAAGACGTTTCTACAGAAAGTATATAACTTTTAAATATAGGCTAGATTATCTTGTAAAGGAAGCACTGAATTAGGCCTGATGAGGAAATAAATTTGTTTATTCAATTCATGACTGCTCCTTGGATTTTCTTACCTGTAGGTAAAGCAACGTTCAGAAGCTTAGCTGAAATTTAACGGAACAGTGGGCTCTGTATGGTTAAAACTAAACCGGACAGGAAGGGAAAGTATTACAAAAAAGTACACTTTTGTCTCAAGGCCCTTAGCTATTTAGAAGTGAGAGGTGCATAAGCCAAATTTTTATTCTCTTTTCGCACTCAGTTTCTTATGTTTCCTTGGTGTATCCATTCCAATCACTATCAGAGAGCATACTGGTGGACTGCTGGTGTGGTTGAGGTAGATCTTGTAGCAAAAGCATGACACAGGCAGTGCTGAACAGATGAAGGTTCAGGTTCCTGGCTGAAAGACTTACTACATCTATGAAACTGCTACTGCAATCTTTTAACCAGTCTGGTTAACTGGTTCTCCAGTTGGTTCCTAATCTGGATTTCTTGCACTGTTCATGGTGCTTTGCACTACTCTGCACAGCAGTGTAAGTAATTACTGTTGTGGTAGTACTGTAACTTTGAGTATGTGTACATGTGAGTATAAAATTGGTCATAATTTTATGGAGTTGTTTTGCAGTTAATTTCTCTGCATATATTTCAGTGATATGTTGCACCTGCTCAGCCTCTGAATATGTTCAAATGTGAGCATGCAACTGCGTGATGAGTGCAACTACTTGAGGATGTATATGGATATCAGGTATTAGTATATAAATACACATATAAAATTTAGAATATGCTGTACTGTATTTCTGTATAGCCATACATTGTTGACTGTATGATAGTCAAACATAAAATGTAATTTTTTTTTTTTTTTTTTTTTTTTTTTTTTTTTCAAAACCAAGCCACTTCCTGACTCAGGACAGTTCTTAAGTGTGTGCTTGTATCTGCCCAAGTCTTGTTGTGAAGCGGCATGTGTGGCTCTCCTAGCACACTCCTTGTATTGATGATTTATTCACTCTGGAGCCTACTGATGATGTTCCAGAGCTGATCTCTTTGAGGCAGTAACTGGTAAACTTCCAACTTGGTGTCACTTGCATATGCAAAATTATTTTTGTTTTCAGAAATGCAGGACAGTAAAGAGACAAGAAAGACAATCCTAAAATTAAAGAGAATATTTTTTCTCTGAGAGAAGCTGATGTGGTGCTTTTGGTTTAGCTATTTTCTACCCTTACCTTGGACAACAGCAGTAAAGAAAAGCCATTGCCCAAGTCAGATGGGGCACTTAATCCCTTGAGTGTTGGTATCTTGCTCTTGAATTGCTGTGGGCCGACTCAGTTTTAGGTTAGTTTTGAGAATGAGATGTGATTAGTGCAGGCATTGACACACTTGTCTTCCTGAAAGTAGTATGGCTTTTGCTGGTGATTGTAAATTTGTGATTGTGGGATTAACCAGGAGTAGTTGTGTAACACTGGCATGGCTGTTAGGGCTGTTGTCCTTTTATCATTGCAACTGTTTGGGGTAAACAATGTCTCTGAATTGCTTCTTTGGCAAGGAGAGGATTGCAGTAACTTTCATGTTTTCTATAAATAGGAAATTGCTGATCTCTGCAGTGGGAGCAGAATTAAAGTGTGTTTCACCCTGGCTGGTGGCCTGACCTATCCTGATTAACACCTGATAGTCCATTTTAAATGGTAGCCACTTTCATCTTAAAATCAACCAGCACAAGAGCAGCAGAACATCTGGAAACAGACCAGTAATTCAGAATGACCAGATCTAGAACTTGGATGAAAAAGCTTTTGTTTGTGAAAACAACCTCCAACAGCTTTTGGACCTGATGAAAAACGTCAGCCAAAGTGTTAAAGATGCTAACCTTCTGCAGGTTTTATAGAAAGAGGTACCTGTGGAGAAGAGTGGGAAATGTGGTTTACGTACTCAGTGAGGGGACTGTTGTGTGGAGTTCAGCTCTTACAAGACTCTGGAGAATCCACGTAGGAGTTTCATGTGCAGCTGCTCCCACAACAGCAACAACTTCTTGTAGTGCTTCACCCAAGTAAACGCCAATGTGGTTTTAATAAGTCACAAGGCTCTAATCTCCCTTTTTGTGAGGTTCAGCCATTGTATAGTATGTTTTCTTGGTGAACCACGGTGGGCTTTTCTTCATCTCTGACCATGTTCTTTATCAAGATGCCATCTAAAAGCCAGTGGCTGTTTCTTGCTGCTAAAGGCAGGTGCTTGCTAGCTGTAGCCATCCTTTGGGGGGTCTTCCTTAGATCTGTTTGTAAGCTGTAGATCTGAAGATACCCATCTTTTGCAGTAGGGTTTCTGCAAATGCTTTCATTTGTTGCAGATCAAGTCTTGTTTTTCTCAGCTGCTTCTTTGCAGCTGTAAAATATCTCAGTGTTAACTGCAAGCCCTCCCCTGGGAGAAGTGTTTGGGAAAGTATTTGGTGTATTTTAATCTGATATCTCAGCCTTTGGAAACAAGAAGCTGGTTCCAAACCTGGTATTTCAGAGATGCTAGCCTGAGAATCTCCTATTCCTGTGGTCTCCTAAATAATCCAGTAAGTTTATGTGCCTTCTGTTCTGTCTACAGCCTTGTAAACATGCATCTATTCAGGAATAATTGGAAGACTTGATTAGTCAGGGCACAGTGGAAAATTAGCAATAGTAAGGGTGTCAAGCTCTACCAGACATTCTAATTTCCTCTGAATTGCGGATGTCCACATACAGTGCTTGCAGCTGCTTACTGGCATTGCCATGCTGAGAAGGAGAGAAAGCAAAAGCAGTAATTTGGTTTTTGATAGGAGTACAGGGGTTCTTCCCTGCCTGGGTTGGAAGAGCCTTGTTTGTTTTTTTTAAACTTCGGTATAGGCCACACAGAGGGACATGTATGACATGGCTTCTTGTAGAAAGGAACGTGAGGCTTAGAAGAGCATATGGTGAGAGCAGGCCAGGGAGTAAATTACACCTGCAAAAGTATTAGTGCAGTTCATAATAAATGGAGACTGCCTTTCCAAGTCCTTCAAGTGCCGGTGCATGTGACCATGGAAACAGCAATGTGTCACTGTGTATTTGGTCAATCTTTCAAGGACTCCTTATAAACCTAATAAAGCAGGCTTTCCAGCTGGTCAGGTAAGAACTTTAAAACCAATTTCCATCCTTGCTTTTGAAGCAGGATTACGTAGCCATTTTCTAACGGTATGAATTTCATGTGTGAAATTCTGTGACTATTAACTCCTTAAAATACTTCACTCAGTGAGCTGTTGCACTGAGATGTGTTTCCTTAAAATAGACTTAATTGCACTGAAGTGGAATTTCCCAGAAAGCTTCAGCTCTTCAAAGCTTTCTTGGAAAAGGCTTTCTATTCTCTGTAAAGAAACCCTTATCGGTTCTATTTTTCCGTAACTACCTTGAAGCTCTACTTACTGTTAATTTTATGTCCCTCTTGTCTTCTGGATTAAAAAGAGATGGCCAGCTTTCTTGCTTACGATATTGGGAGTTTCTGTAGGCACTGTGAGCCAAGAGACTGACTTTTTCCATCAAGCAGCCATCATGGTATTAATGGCTCATGGATCAGAAGAGTGTAAGTGATGCATTTACCCAGAGTTAAGCCATCATTCTGAGATTTTGACTCTAGTTGTTTGTTGAACAAGAGGATAAGGACTAGTTATACTAAATGGGGATGAGTGTTAAAGCACATTAAAATGGGATTGTTTATTTTCTTGATAATACTTTCTTAGAAGCCTTGGATGTCTAATGTCAAATGGCATGTAGCAGTATCGAACTTACAAATTTTTGTCCTTTTTTTAAAGGAGGTTGCTATTGGGAGAACTTTGAGTCTTTCCAGGAAAGATTTGATCTACAACACTTTTTAGTAATGGTTTGGCTTTCATAAAATTTTACTGTGGGTTGTCAAGGGCACTTGCATGAAACTGGGATAGAACTTTAACATCAAATCACTTCCCACCCCACCGTGTTGTTGCAAGATACCTGCTGGTAGCGGATCTGCCGTGGCACTGCACTGCAAGTGCACTCAGAGTGATTTACAGATCTACTAGAGAAAACGCTTTGTGAAAAATCGGCAGCTTCTGGAGGAAGAGAGAACGTCACTGTGCTAGTACTGCTGTTAGAGAGCAACCCGGAGAAATGCCATTTGGGCAGGATCCTCTGCATGTCTCCTCCCTTTCTGATGCAGTATAAATATCTTCAATGACACTGAACTTAATTTAGCTGCAATGCCTGCTGCGCAAAGTGTGCATCTTACTGATTCTGTGGCCAGGTGAGTGTTTGTTTATATGGAAAGAGTTGGCTGTTTCCAAACAGCAGGCTATGACCACACTGTTTCTGTCATAAAGACCTCTAACTTTCTGACCAGCTGAGAAAACATACTGTTCCCACCATCCCTTTGATGTAATTGCCAAACACATACCCACTTGTATACACATGCAGACCAGTGGTTGAAAGCCTTGATAGCTCTGGCAGGCGGGATAGGCAGGGGATGACTGCAGGGTGGGTCTGAATTTCCAGAGCTCTGGTTTCACAACTCTGCAGAATGGCTCTGTCGGGTCGGCTGGCTCTAGCCCAGCACTAAATAGCTTGTTTGTGCTGGGCTGGATGTACTTTCCTGCAAGCTCGTCTGTCTGCTGGCTGGCTAATTGTGCTTCCTCATCCCACCTTGTGTTTGATAACAGAGCTTCCTCTGGTTTTTGCTACGGAAGTCAGCAGGAACTTTGCCACTGACCTCTGCATCTTTTAATGAAGGACAATGTGTTTGATGCACCTTCTGCCTGCTCTTACCTTTATTGAACTTGCTGCTTAGCCAAAGTGATGTTAGGCAGGATGTGTATTCCCCATAGGTAGGCTGACAGTAAGCTTTGTGTGTGCTTTATCATTGTGTACACGTACCACAAGTGTATTTATAGACAAGAGGAGGTTGAAGTCATTCAGGGAAACTTCTGCTTTTCTCATATATGAAAAATTAATTCTCAGTTTGCAGCAGGTTACCAGCAGTAGGTAGTGGTATTTGGCAGCCACGCTAGATTGGTAATTCAAGGAAGCTCGCCTGAGGTTAAGTTTCATGTTTAATGATTTGATGAGGGTCTTCATGGATGCACTTTTGCATCAAATATCTGGCAGATGTTTGGTATTGCTAAAGAAAGCTAGTGTTTGATCTGTGGTGTAGATGTCTGATGTCAAGAGGTTAGTTTACTGAGATCTATCAGGGTCACTGCAGCAGGGTGGTTTTTGTTGCTGGTGATTTTTTGGGATCTCCCTCCTCATTTCCTCCCTCTGGTCTTCTAAGGATTTCTTGCATGGAGATGTTAGTACTTGCTTTTTTTTTTTTTTTTTAAGTTTCTTAGAAGTTTGGGGTTGACTTCCTGAAAAGAATAGGAGAGAATCTAATTTTCTGCTTCAAAGCTGCCTTTAAGATCTCTGGATTGCTTTGTTTTCAGGGCGTTCTGTAAGCAATCAAAGGCATTTGAGTGTACAACAGACCCAGCTCAATCTGATCTGCTTTCAAGTGTAACCATATTTGTACATGCTGATGCCTGTTTTATGTCTCCATTTAATTCTTTTTAAAGCCTGTGACCTTTTCTTTAGGATCCTAATAAGCAGCTTTCCCTGTTGGATACCTCAGTGGGAGTAGATAATTACTACACACAATCAAGATTTGATCTAAACAGGCATACAATCCCAGCTGGAATGAGTGTGTCTTCCACATTTCACATTCTTTCTGGTCTAGGTGTAAGCATCTGTAACTTTGCTGTGTTTGTGTCTTCCTTATGGTGTATTTGTTGCAGGCATTGCTTGTGAAATGTATTCAGATGCCCAAACTGCAGTGAAATTATTTTTATGTTTTCTCTTCAAAGAAGAAATAAGATTCTTGGCCTAATGTGGCAGCTTGCAGGAATGCACCTAATAAGATCTCATTTTTTGCTCAGACAGTAGATATCAAGATCCTGGACAGCAAATATCTTTGTGCCAGAGTTGACATTATTATTTGTATCATTTCAGAATACGGTGTCTGTGAAAACTTGCGGAAATTGGAGATCACAGGAGTGTCCTGTCGAGATGTTTATGCCAAACGTAAGTGATAAAGCTGATAAAGATCTGTATGTCCTTGCTTAGTACCAATTTTGAAAGCACAGACATGTTGAATATTTATTAAACTTTGATGGCATAAGTTATTAAGACTTACTTGCTAATGACAGGGGTTTCATCTGTGAAGTTGACATTTTTTGAATTTTATTTAATACAAGCAGATGCCAAGAATTGGGATGTCTATGCCCCCCAATCCTTTGGTGGGAAAAAAGCATGTAATTTACAATAAAGTGTATTGCGGATTTTTCATCCTTTCCTGTTTTGCCATTTTCAGATCTTGCTAAGGAATTCACTGAATTAACTGATATTTTTTCATCGCCCTGATGTAGCTAAGTCTTGTTCGCAGCAAAAGGATGCTGTTCTATGCTGACAGTGGGGAAAGTACTGCAGGTAGAGGGGCAAAGGATCCTTTGGGCTGCTTCTGAAGGAGGAGAGCCTGGCAGGGCTGGCCTCTGCTGAGGTGTCAGTGCATTTTAGGAATGTTGGTGGGAGTAGGACCCTGACTCCTTAGTCCCACTGTGCTTTCTGCAAGGTAGATGCACATCTTCTGTCTTACAGTAGGGAGGGGTGGAGGCATCCTCGGATGAGAGAAGCCAAGCTAGGACTGAAGGGAGGCCTGGATCCGTGGTGGGGCTGCCTGCCCTGTCACCAGATCGTGCCCTTTGCAGTCAGAAGCTGAGCTGGTTGCTCAGAGAACCTCGCAGAGCCCCCATACCAGCCCCACCAGGCTGTATTGTCTTGGTTCCCCATCGCAGGTTTTGTAAGGGAGTTACCTATGGTCCATAGGATAAAAAAACAAGGTTTAACCTGCAGCACTTGAACTAGGGCTTCTGACTGTTCAAAGAAGGTCCTGCTTTATGAAACAAAAGCAGAGAGGTTAATCATGAGAGGTCTCTGTAGGTTTTGCAGACCCAAAACCTGGCTCAGCTTCTACGTGTACTGTATTTGCTGAACCTTGAAGCAGTGATGATCTGAAGCATTGATCTTACTGCTAGAAAGAACAGATGGAAGGGTTTTAATGCCATCTTTAATAGACTTGCTGAGTACCCATGGGCAAGTTATTTCATCACCCAGTGTCCTTCTTTACCTCTTTGTGCACTAGGACTGGAACTGCCTAATTTTCTGGGTGGGAGGGCTGAGTGCTGCTGAGCCAGCACTTAGAAATCTCATTAGCACTTGAAGCCTCCCTCACTTCCCATTCAATCCAGTATCTCTGTATGACACTGGTGTGGTAGCAGCCGTACAGCACATACCATATTGGATCTTAATTCTGCATTGCTAGCCTTAAATGGCAGAACAACTCTTCATGACCTGTAGTCTTTTTCACAACGGTAGTTCCATGTTGCTGGTATTTTAAAGTGATATTTAGTGCTTTTTTTATACACAAGTTATATATAAGAATGGCCTTACTAGCTCAGAGTAATGGTCTCTACCTGTAGCCCAGTACTCTGTCTCGCAGCCGTGGCTGTGAGCAGTCACCCAGGGAAGACCAAGAAGAGAGCAAACCTCTGCGATACTTTTCTAAGTACTTTCCCAGCTTCTGACTGCTTTCAGGTTGGGGAATTTCCAGAGTCTAATGCAATTTGTTGATTTAATAGCCCTCAACACATCTGTTTTACACGTACGTTTCCAGTCTTTGCAGCAGAGTAGTTTCGGAATCCATAGCATCATTGGCAAAGAATCATGCCTGATGTGTGAGAAACCACCTCTGTGATAGACTTTTTTGCTATTTGTGGCTTTCAGGGATGCACCATCTTGGCTCTGCTGCTCAGATTCAGGAGTTTGCCCTGTTGTAAACACTTAGTGGGACAGTTTCCTGGTGGCGTGACCCCATTTTTCTCTACTGTCTCAAAAACTTCTGTAATTGCAGAAGAGCTAATGTGAGGCAACTGGCAGGACTCACGGGCACTCCTCTGTCCACGGAATGTGCTTCTGTACGAAGGACTGTGGGAAATGGGCAACAGAGCTTAAGTGCTAGAAAGCATAACTAATCCAAGGTCTGAGCCTTGTTCTTGTAGTTACTTGGCCTCAGTGGTGGTCTTGAGATAGTGGTGCTCATTACAGTCGCACTACAGAGTTTGAGGAGGACCCTGATTCCACTTTGAATTCCCTGGGTGCCATTTGTAAATACTGTTCAGTGACAATCTTGAACATGCCGAGTTCTGTGTGAGTAATCCTCTTACCTGATTGTACCTGAGACTGGGGCTGATGGAAACAAACGGTGCCCTGCGACTGGGAGTCAAATCAAAAGAGAGTTTGACTTCCCTGCGTGGTTGGATTCATCGTCCTGTTACGTGGTGGTTACAGTGGAGCAGAGTTTGCTGGTACTTACCCTGCTGTGTCTGTTCAGGTATAAACCCACGAGTGAAGTCGGGGCGTTTTATGAAAATCCTTCCCGACTACGAGCACATGGAGTACAGAGATGTTTACACCTGCCGTACGTACCTCCTGCTGGTTGATGCTTCCTGCACTAAGCACACACAAGATGCTGCATGGAGTGTGACGTTGCTTTAAGCAAACTATTTTGGGGTGGACCTTGGGACAGTGTGGAGGGTGCTGGTTAGTCTGTTCTTTCTATTGCACTTGAGTGTACTATTCTGACCCTTCAGAGTGATGGTGTGAGTAGGGCAAGCGGTGAGGTATGTTGGGCTCCTTTTGAAGTGGTTTGAGTTAGAAAATTGTCCTGACTGGGTGCAAAAAGGAGGGTTTCTGCTCACAGTAGAGGAGCACTCACTTTGCTCTTCATGGATTGCTCCTGTCTTAGAAGGAAATATTCAGAAGCCCTGGTGAGGGCTCCCAAAAACAAATTTAAATAAGCTCTGGACTGGCAAAAAGCTTTGTCTTGATCCAGATGAGCTGCATTCAGATCCACAGCCCTTCCCAGTGAAAAATGCTGAGGGTTCCCATACTAATTCCTTCCCTGCACAGTGAATCCTTTTAATCACCATTTCCCTTTCTAGGAAACATTCTTCTGGCGTTGCTGAGATTATGATTTGTCTGCCTTAGTCAAGAAGCTGCTCTGGATAAATTGTTCATTGCCTCCTAATGTTGTGTTGAGGGAAGAATAGTAAAACAGTGGAGTTTAGTACTCGCTGGTCTGTAGGAGTTGGGGGGAAGTACTGTTTAGTTTACATCAATTAAGGAAGCCAATACTGCTTGGTATTTGGCAGGGGTGTTGAGCTGTCTAATGCTCCTCTGGGTCTGCAGAGGTTTGCAAATTCAAGTTACTAACTCACTGGTGCTTGGGAATGTAGTTTTTTTTGCACACACTAATGAACGGAGTGGATGCTGCAGACTTACCTGTGCTAAGGAAAGGAGTCAAGCATGGGCCACATGGAGAACATGGTGTCTTTAATGTGAGTTGGGACAGGCAAGCAGCAGCAGTGCTACAGCAGGAATCGGTAGGAAGTTTTAGGTTTGGCAGTCCTGCCTGTCCACACCAGCCTTGTTGTGGAGCTGGATGGGAAGGAGAGACACGCCTGAGCTGCCCCACAGGACGAGGGATTCCTTTGTAGATTGCTACCTGGGTGTTTGCCCCAAAGATGCCATTTGTGGTGGCTCTCAAATGGCATTTTGTGCTGTTCCCTCAGTTGTTAATTCTTTAGCTGCAGCTCCAAATTTCTGATGTCTAGTGCCCCTTTTCTCTAGGGACGTGTTGTATTACTTGGGGAAAAGCCAGTGTGGTTTAAGATGCAATGGCTTGCTTCCCCCTTTTTCCCCTCCTGTCTATTAAGACTCTTGCCAGGATTTACCATGTGTTTGCTCCCTAATTTGTATTCATGCAGCATTAGCCAGGTCAGCTCAGATCACTTTCCCCAGGGTTTTAAGCTAGCCTGGCTGACACTGAGCTCTTTCCACTAGCAGGTCAGTTATCACCAGCTGGGGGGCAGTAACTGCTTACATTTTTCCTATTCATTTGCTTATAGATACCTTGCTGTATCCTGAGAATCCCAGAGAGTTGTAGTGCATCAGGTCTTTTCCACTCAGTGAGCTACCTCTGCTTTAAAGGCTACAGATTTCACTGAAAACTCCCGTGTTAGGTTTTTGCATTTCTCTGCCTGTGCTGTCCAAGATGGACACAGGTAATAAAATAAGGTTAGTTAAAACAGTAATATCTGAAATCATCTGCTCTTTTCCTGTTTTAATAACCTGCTCTAGGGTTGTAACTTGTCTGTTCATACCTACGATGTCTGTGGTGTGCCAGGGTGGCGATGCTTGCTTGCATCACTGTGCCTTTGCTCAGTGTCACCTCTTTATCCTGTGTCTGATGCTAATGAAGAGCACAGGCACTAGACCTTTCCCAGGCAGCCTTCTGTGGGAGCTTGGGCATTCACCGCTTTTCCTAGCCCATCCCCAGACGGATTCAAGCAGCCTTTCCATCTGAAGAGTGTGCAGGGCTGCTTGTGGAAATGTGAGTAATATCCAGGCTGGGCAGGGGTTGCACTGAAGCGTCCAGTGGATGTATTTTTGCTCCATTTGGCAGGATGTGGGCTCAGAATCTGTTAGGCAAGAGGCTTCTTCAGGATTGAGAAAAATAGGAAGTGTGCATAGCAGAAGAAAATGTTGGAGAAAGACCCAAGTGCTGTTTTCTTTCGAGGAGCATGGAGGGAAGCAACTGTCAGATCAGGTTTTCCCTGCAATGAATATAGCTGCTGGCTCACTGGATCCCAGAGGCACCCCAGGCTTGAAAATGGAGCTGTGCTTTTGCTTTGAGACTTGTTTGGGCCTTTGGCCAAGTACCAGCATTTTCCCCAATAACTTCCTTTCCTGAAAGAACAGGAAGAGAAAGAGTCTGCAGCACCCTGAGCAAGTGAGGGAGACGACCTGTCTGTTAAGGTGTTTCTGCTGTGGGCATTGCAGCCTGGTTCCCATCAGCTCATCTGGAGGCTTCTGTGGTGCCAAACAGCTGGGGTTTTAAAAAATTAAAGAAGAAGAGCTGCCCGCAGTAGCGGTGCAAGCTAAGCACAGAAGCTGCTGTTGTGTGGGTAGGATTATTCTGGAGATGAATGGGATTTTTTGGCCTCTGCCCTCCTTCGTGGCCCCAGGTTTCTGGGTGGTTGGGGCAGATGGTGAAGCAGACTCAGTCATATTTCCTGAACCGCAGTGACTCCTGGCAAACCGAGCAGCAGCTGGAGCTGGCTGTTTATTCAGGGTGAGCACACAAACTGCCCTCAACAGCCAAGTATCTTGGAGTGGAAGGGCTTGCCTTGTCAAGCAGACACTCTCCGCGCTGTTGAAAAGTCCATCAGTTGTAGCAGCAGCTCAGAGAGGGCTTCTGACAGGAGCTGGGGGAGGAGGGACATCCTCATCACTCTTGGATAGCCTAGCATCAAGTTTTCTGTCCTAAAAATAAATTTAAAAAAAAAAGCTGGGTTTTATCAGCTGCATGGCAGACAGGGTAGAAGGCAGATTGTGGTGGGTGGAGTGGCTTATGCACATACCATTTATTAATATGTAATTACTGCACTGAGACGAGAAGACTGGGAATGTGGTTTGCTTGCTTGCCTTAGTGCTGTTTGCGCTGCACTCAGTTCACTGGGTGAAACCAGGCCATCAATCTTAAATTGTTTACTGCACAGGAAAAAGGCTCCTCCAGGCCAGTTGGCAGCAGCTCTGGACAGCCCTCCCTGCTGTCCTGAACCTCTGTGGAAGTTCTCTGCTTTGATGTACTAAAACCACTCCTATAGTAGTAGTTAATGAAACAAAGCTATTGTAACAGCTGCATTGAAACACAATTCTTCCTATAAATTGATGCAAAGCAAAAACCATTATTCAAGCCAGTCCTGTAAGGTAAAATGGGTTATTGTGGCCTTCTGAGTTGCCCGTGAACATCATTGTAAGGCAAGTGTAGTATCTTCTTGCCATCTTCATAGAAGTAATCTGCATCCTGTTGTTCCTGCCCAGAATGCCAGACTGTGTTTAAAGTCTTCACATGAAGGTTACTGGTCATGTCAGGAAATTATATGAACAAAATTAATGGCTGTGTAAGGACTGGAGGCAAGTACCATCCCTAAACTTTCCTCAAGAGAAGGGGTTTATTAAGATTATTCTGTAATAGGCATTTTCTCCTGCTTGCTGAAAATGTTCCTACTTGTCCTTCAATTTTTGTGGGATTGAAAGTGCACCTAGCTCTGAGATGAAAAATGGAGAAGCCTCACCTGTTGCAGTAGGCTTTGAGGGAGATTTTGAAGCAGCTTTTGGGCACTGCTGAAATGTAGCTGCTTACTTAGAATTTTTAAGGCTGTTACTGGTAATACCACCAGATCCTGAGCTGGCATGGTCTGTGTGCTTTGCCCGTGCTCTCTCGGTGGCTGTTTTTAAGGATGCTTAACTCTGGAGACAATTTTGTCAACACAAGGCAGGGAAATTCTTTCAAATTATTCCAATTTCCCTGTTCCTTATTGCCTTTCTGCTCTTCCTTATTTTCTGTTGCTTTGCAGTCTGAGGCATCAAGTACATTTTTGGTAACTAGAGACGGTAGATACTTTATTTGTTTTTGGCTCTGGGTATATCATGTGATTTGCATTAACGGGACCATGTTGCAGAAGTTTTCTGGGAATTCCCAGTGAAGTATCTGGTTGTGTAAAGTCCTGGAAACTAGCTCCTGCCCCTGCACAGGGCCAGGAACGGGGCTGTGGAGAACAACATAAATCTCTGTGAGCTCATGGGAGGCCTCAGTTCAGAACTGCCTGGCTGTGGTGGGGTGGAACCAGTATTCTCTTCCTTGGTGAGGGCAGTTGTGGGTGGTATCGGTCAGTGTTGTGTGCAGTCTGATAGCAGTCTTCCTTTTTCCTTCTTTTCCCCAAATCCCAATTCCTTAGCTTAATGTGCTCACTTCAGTGTCTCACTGTTCCCTAGTACTGCACCGATACCGACACATCCTGGGATTATGGCAGCCAGACATCGGGCCCTACGGGGGACTGCTGAACGTGGTGGTGAGTGAGTACCTCATTCTGGGGGCTGTGGTGTCGAGGACTGATGAAGCTCTTGTATAGGGCTTTCTAGAGCTGGTTGCCATCTCTGTGCTATTGAGAAGCCTGAACAGTCAACACTCGAGCAAGTGATGGGGACCCAGAGGTTGCTCCTTGGACCTTTTCATCATCGCCACCTTTCTCCAGACAGTCCTTTTGTTTTTCAGCTGTGCTCCAAAAAGCCACAGGAGTACCTGGGAAACATAAGCAGTGTTTTAGGGAAGGGCTTGATCTACAGTTTAATGTTGATATATATTCCAGTGGCTGGCACAGGATTCCCATTCCTTGTGTATCAAGTAGAGCAGAGGGTTTAGCACTGGCCCATCACTTACTGCATTATCTCTGCCTGCAGCTGAACGTTTTGCAAAGGGTTTTGCATGTGTGCTCGTGCACTTCTCCTTCCTGTAGTTTGTCGTGCTTTTCACCAGCTGTGTCTAATGCATCGGATGCAACGAGACTGGCGCAAGACCCGTGGAGCCTGGCAGCTCTTGTGCTGCTGGGGGGAGAGCAGTTAATGAACAACGTTTGATTCTGTCTTGGTGAGAGCTGGGCCAGGAGTTTGCCAGATGCCCTTGTTCTTTGCACTGGGGTTCAACAGCAGACAGGCTGAAGCATAACTAATCACGAGGCCTTTGTGTTTTGCAAGATTCTGTTCCACAAACTGGTGTTAGAGTGCATCCAAGTGCACCAATACTTACATGATATTGTGACCTTATAAGGACAAGTATGCCTCTGTGGCACTGCTCTGCTTTTGTCTCAGATATCTCCATTTAGAAAATATCCTTTCTCTGGAGTTGTAGGTCTTGAGAGGAAGGATTTTGTTAGGTGTGCAGGAAGAGAGCTGGCACTTTTACCTCTCAGCAGAGGAGATTGTTGCTTCCTGTGCTGTCTGTGTGTAATAGAGCCAAATAATTCCTTGTCCAAAAGGCATGGATAATCATGAGAAGCAGAATTTGTCTATTTGAGTATCTGCCAGCATGAGCTCTCAAACCAATTAGAGTTTGACTAGCTGTGTGGTCTCTTCAGTGCAGTCTCTCCCTCTGGATCCTGCACACCAAGCATCCGTCACAAAGTCGTTTGCAGTAATAAAGGCCTGATCATTTTCCAGTGGTGCAGGAAGCCTTGTAAAGAAACCCTCTCTCTCTTCACCAAGGGTGTGCTGTGAGTGCATATGGTCTGGTTTAATTGCCGGAAAGCGGTTTGGAAATGCAGCAAGCTGTTCTACAGCTCCTGCTCTGTTGCAGAATAGGCCCCCGAGTTGTGAGCTGCAAACTCAACAGAAAGCACGCAAGGCTGACCTCGTATGCTTTGTCTCCCACCCCTCTGCAGGTAGATGGTTTGTTCATCATCGGGTGGATGTACTTGCCACCTCATGACCCTCATGTTGATGATCCGATGAGATTCAAACCTCTCTTCAGGATTCATCTCATGGAGAGGAAGTGTGCGACAGTTGAGTGTATGTATGGTCATAAAGGACCCCATAATGGCCATATCCAGGTGAGCTCCTCTAGCTCTTTCAGCATCATCTGTCCTAGGTGTGATGCGTGCATGCGTGTTGGCTCTGGAAATGGATTCATCAACAAACTGTATGAGAATTTTTTTTTTTTAAGGGATGTGGCTTTCACCACCTTGTTGTATGTGTGGATGCCAGCTTTTTACGCTCATTATGTGTCTGACAAGTTGTGTGGGCTGTTCCCCGCTCTGAATTTGTTCGTTGGCAATAGTACAGCGAGGCTGCTGTGCTGGCTTCTGCTGGTTTGGAGCACGATGGGAGGGTGGGAGCACCAGTATGTGTATGGGCTGGGCATACGCAAAATGGCCTCGTGCAGCTGGTGAATGTGTCCGAGCAGACACACAGACCTGTTCTCATCTCTGAGATGAGACCTTAAGAAGATGATGTAGCATCCATTCAGTACATTGGATGCTTTGAAAAGCTTCACAAGAGGCTGTTTTGTTTTCTTTGAAGAGGAAAGTTTAAATAGAGAAACAACTTAAAACTAGTATCTTTCATTAGAATGCATTGGGGTTTTACTGGTTTTATTTCTCTATTCTGTAGCTGTTGCACTCAGTATCACTTCATGGTTTCTCTGTTGTAGCACATTCAGAAATGTTTGTTGTGTAAAGCATTTACCTTAAGCACTGTTAGTTACATCATCCTAGGCATTTCTAAACAGGTCTGTAACCTGTTAAATTCTCCTCCATGATAACTACAGATTGTAAAGAAAGATGAATTCTCCACGAAATGCAACCAGACAGATCACCATCGGATGTCAGGGGGAAGGCAAGAGGTAAGAGTGCTTTGGCAAGAGTCTGCATTAAGGCTGTTTGTACATTCCCTTTCTGAAGATAAATAATTGCTGTCTTACCTAAGTTCTTAGTTGATGTTGGGGTCTGGAGGTGGTCTTCTGCCTTCTAATTTCTGAACGTATATGAAAACCTGGCCTGGTAGCTTCAGGCTGATTTACTGTGATCTTTTTTAAGTGAGTGGAATTGATCTGTGACTTGAATCAAAACTGAAAGCGGCCACATTTGAATAATTGCAGGATCTTGGGGAACGTCTTCTGTACTTGCCAAGGTGTGCTTTAGGGATCCGGTATATGGGATGGATTCAGTGTTACTCCGCAGAATGTCTAGGTGGAGACTCCATGCCTTACCTCAGCGTGTCGCAGGGTGTTGGAGCAGGCTGTTAACATCCATCCTGTTGAGCAAAAAGCTATTTTAGGCAGTTCTCTATGTCAAGGTGCTCTTTGAGTCCCAGCACCCTTTTTCTTCCTGTGCTGTGACACCATTCCTGTTTGATAGCAGGCCTGTCCAAAGAAAGTCAGCAACATGCATTGTATGCCTTGCAGCACTTGCTAGACACTGATCTCTGTGTTATTGCTGTCTGTATAATTGAAATCTTTCAGACACAGGCCTAATACTGAGTACCAGCTGCATTTGAATACCTGCTTGCTAGGGGGGTGCCTTTCTACTGGTTGTCGTCTTGGTCAAGGGATTAAAAGCTTCATTTTGTTGTTTATCCGCTGTCTGTGTCGGCTGTACCCAGCAAGGCAGATCCCTGTCTCAAACTACACGTTTTAAGGTGCAGGTATAAATGTCAGGATGAAAACCTCCTGCTAATACCTGTTCCAGGTAGTGGTGTTTGCTGCCGGCTAGTTAAATGTGACAAATCTGATACTTCAGTTGCTTCTAACAAATGCTTTAAAATGTCTGTCTACTAATGGGAAACAGCTGGGTGAAAGGTTTAGTTAAGTGTTTTCTGGTTCTGTAGCAGATGAGAAATGCTTTAATACTTTCAAAGCACTACGTGAAGTGTGCGTGGCATTATGGTAATTGGAGGATCTGGCTTTAGAAGATAAAGCAAGCAGGTTTGGAATATCACTTGGTAGGCGGCTATCTTAGTGTAAGCTGTTATCGTGCTAACTCATGGTAGGGTATTAACTTGTCAGAGCTGGTGTAGAGGTACTTCAGGAGATGTTTTCAAGGCACCCTTTGGATTTAGATGCATCAGTATTAAATCAGCAGGATTTGACCTCCTAAATCTTCAGTGCCTTTTGAAAGCTTCCTCTGTTATGTTTAACATGCCAGGATAGGGTACGAGAGTCAGCTTACAGGCTCACAGATGAGTTACTGCAAGGTAAGTCAGGATGTAAAGAAGTAGTAGGTCAGCTAGTTTGCAGTAACAGGTGATGCTTATGCTTTTATTCTGAGGAGACATATTGGTTCTGCCTGTAATTTATTTGAAAGGGAGCATGTTTATTCTGTGGAGTTTGGCAGGTATAGGGCAGCTACCATTGTCACTACTTGTAAAGCATATTTTCAAGCCAGTTCTGTAGCCACATGTGCTTGTTCCCAAATCCAGCCATGATCCTGTCTTTGGCAGAGCATATGCCCTCTCTGTGGCTCTGCCAGTGGATCGTGCTGATGAGGCATAGTCGTGTTGGGGTATATCACTGTTGCAAATGAAGTGACTTTATTTTCCCCCCTTTTCTCTTGTGCTGCAGGAATTCCGGACGTGGCTAAGGGAAGAGTGGGGTCGGACTCTGGAAGACATCTTCCATGAACACATGCAAGAGCTCATCTTGATGAAATTCATCTACACCAGCCAATATGAGTAAGGGCACCAGCTCTTCCTAGGTATTGAGGCTGCTGCAACTTCAAGCACACATTGGATCATTTGTTCTGAAGATGGGGTGCTTGCGATGGGCTTTAACAGCCAGAGGAAAGTTCTGCTTCTGCAGGCTCTGTCCAAAGATACGGTGAAGCACAGACCTCCCCAATTGTACAGAGAAATTAGATGTAATGACAGCAGTCATAACAAGTTCTCAGCTTTACTGTGCACAGTAAGGTGGTTTTGAGTCATTTAACTGTTTAATTTGAAGGCAGCAAATACCCGTGATCCCAAGGAGCTATCTGTTTATTATCAGTACTAGTAAGCAGCATGCTTTGTAGCATGCTAGGCATAAATGAGACAGTCTCTGAGAACTTGGGGTTTTTTAACTGTCACTCCCAAACTTCTAATAGCAGCCACCTCGCTAGTTGTTCGAATATGCTTTACTCTTAGGTTCTCTGGAGACCCCAAGGAGTAAGGAGGTTTACTGTGACCTTGCTGCAGGAGCCTCCTGGTCTGCTAACGAGGACTGGTAGAGAGAAGGGAAGGGAAGGAGTGCTTGCATAGATCTAAAGTGAAATCTGTTAAGCTTGTTGGTATTGCTGAAAGCACAGATCCCACCTCTCTCTTGACAACATCCCAAAGCTGCCTGGAGGAGCAGACTGCAAACACATTCCTCACGTTGAGGGATTCTCTCTTAACCTCTCTGACTTTCTGTTTTTTGCACAGCAACTGCTTGACATACCGACGCATCTACCTCCCTCCTAGCAGCCCTGATGACCTTATAAAGCCAGGTCTCTTCAAAGGAACGTACGGGAGCCATGGGCTGGAGATTGTCATGTTGAGCTTTCATGGGAAGAAAGCGAAGGGGACTAAAATCACCGTGAGTGCCTATTCCTTTCTCTCAGATGCCTATAAAAGTATTCTCGATGTCGTGGATCCATAGGAGAGATATCTAGCTGGGAGACAGTCAGTTGTTGCCACCCCAAACCCTGTTCCTTGTGGGGATTGGTGGCATCAGGTGAACGTTAACATGTGTGAGGTAGGTAGAACCTGCTCTGCAAAGTTTCTCATGATGCCATTTGGCTCCCGCTTCCTTCTGTCTCCCTTCCAGCTGCTTTCTGTGAGCCCCTGGTAGCAGGTCACTGGATATCGCTCGCATGTATCTGAGGAGCAGGTACCAAATGTTGGCAGCTCTTCGCTGAAGCCAGGCTAGCAAGCTCCTTCCTCTCTGCAGGGAGGGAGTTTCAGCTTTGACTTTCTTCCTCCCTTGCAAATACAGCCTGGCTTGTAGCTTTTGATTTAAAATTCTGTTTCTGGGAGGCGGGAAACAGAGGTGGCACAGATAGCTCAGGAAACAGTGAACAAGGTCCAAGGGTTTGGGTGTTTTTTTTTTTTTTTGTTGCCAACTCAGTGATTGTAGAATAGGGTGAGCTATGTAGAAGTCAGATGATGGATGTGGGGAAAATACAGGTCTGAACTCTGTAGCACCCTGTCTCTGCAGCCATGCTGTTGCTTCCTATCTCTAGGGAGATCCCAACATCCCAGCTGGGCAGCAGACTGTGGAGATCGACCTGGCGCATCCTCTGCAGCTACCCGACATCGAGAACCTTCGCGATTTCAGTGAGCTCTCTCGCATCGTCCTGGAGATCCAGGAGCAGGTACGTCGGGAGGAGCAGGAGCAGGAGCAGCGGCAGGAGGAAGAGGACTGCTCCCAGCAGGCTGCCTCCCAGTCTGCTGCGAGGCCCCTGGGAGGAGAAGGTGCTGAGGGGGAAGAGACTGCGGCTGGGGCGGAGGGGACGACCCAGGACAAGGCACCAGCTTCCCAGCCCTTTGTGCTGCCCATGGGAGTCATATCGAGGAATGAAGACTATCCCCGGACCTGCCGAATTTGGTAACGGGCACTAGTGGTTTTATAGCCTAACCGTGCCAGTCACTTTTTGAAACAGAAGAAGGGGGGGGACTCTTTGAGGCGTGTTCTGTATTTGCTTGCCCTTTACCCGCAGGTGGATCTCCCATCTCCTTTTACTCAAGATTTTCTGCTGCCACTGCCCTATCTCCCACACTTTAGTTTGCTCCCCCTCTTTCTTACCACACTGTCATCGCCATCCCACTTCCTTGCTAGATTTTATCCTGCTGCTTCTGAAGCTAGCACCTCTCCTGTGTTCCACTCCCCCCTCCACCCCGCCCTTTTTTTTTTTTTTTTTTTAGTGTGTGTTTTGTTTCCCAGAGCTTCCCAGCTCATATATTTGGAGATCTGTTCAAGCCGCTTCCCATTCCTGTGTGTCATTTGTGTTCCTTGGCTGTGAGAACACAGTGCTCTCTCCCAGCCCTCCAGTGCCTTGGGGCCAGCTCTGGAAAGTGCTGAACACCCTAAGCAGTAGGTGCAAGTATGCAGAGAGCCTTGTTGAATAGGACCTGGAGCCAGTGAAGCAGCATACTAAATGAAGTGTGGAAAAAAGAGCCCAAAAGCTGAGGCTTAGGCAGGTGACCTTCAGCCAAACATCTGTGCTCATGGAAAAACCTACCAATAGCTGGTTAATCCCAGAAGGCCCCTGCTGTCACAATCGAGTTGTGTTTGAATAAAACCCTGCTCCACCTGCTGCTTGCTTGGAGGTTAGGCTGACCTTTACTCCTTTCCAGCTCCACTTAGATTTTTCTTTTTTTAGATTTTTCTTTCTCTCCCTTCCCCTGGGTTTTGTTTCAAGGTTTATCTCTATGGTCACTCTCTGGACATGCTTTTCTGTGAGGATTGTCTGGGTCTGGGTTGATGCTTGAGTTGGAGAAGTAAATCTCAGATGGATTACTGGGCTGAACTACAGAAAAACTCAGCCTTGGTGTGCAGGTGCTAATTAGAATAGCCAAAAGCAGCAACCTCCAATAGCAGTGGAGAGTTTCTTTTCTTAAAATGGTATCAACAGTTTTGTGCTGTGTGATAAGAACTGATGTGAGTGTAAAACCCCCTGTTCTGTAGCACCTGGTAGTGTGTTTGACAAGGGCTTGATCGTAGTTTTATGCGGGGGTTTGGTTTTGGTGCTTGTTTTGTTTTTTTGTTTTTTGGGTTTTTTTTTTTGTTTTGTTTTTTGTGTTTTTTTTTTTTTATTATTATTAAATGTTGGGTACTGATAGCTATTCTCACATCTTTTTTGCTATTCTTCTCTCCTTGCAGTTTTTATGGGACGGGGCTTATTGCTGGCCACGGCTTCACCAGCCCCGAGCGAACACCAGGTGTTTTTGTTCTCTTTGATGACGATCGCTTTGGATTCATCTGGCTGGAGCTGAAGTCCTTCAGTCTCTACAGCCGGATCAAGGTCTCCTTCCAGAACGCTGAAGCGCCTTCCCGTGAGGCTTTTGATGAAATGCTGAAGAACATTCAGTCTCTGGCTACTTGACGGGTGATTTGTGACGGACAGGGCTAGGGGTTGCAAAGGCTGCTGCACTCCCCAGCCAGGGCTGGGGATTCCTTGCTCTTGGTACCTCTGAATAAAAGCATGCACTTTTAATAAAGCCTTTTTACCCCAAACATACACATCCCGGTTAAAATATCCATGGCTGCCCTTTCCTCCCTGCCACTCCACACTGCTGCTCCCTAGCAGTCCTTGTTACCCAGTCTGTAACATAGCTTTGTATAGCTGAAGGGATCCTGCAGAGGAGGAAACAGAGCTGTCTTACTGCAAAAAGGATGTATTGGAGCAAAAATAACTCAAGGTCAGAGCTGGATCAGAACAACATCTAATTGACAGAATGGATACAAGCCCTCTGCTCTGACCATTAGCACTCTCCCGTGGCTGTTTTTCAAGAAGGGGGCTCATTTAAGCCTTTGCTGTGCTCTAGGCTGATCTGTCCTCCTGGGAGATTTGCTTTACCCTCCTGAAAACCTGTGCAGTCCCCCGCTGCAGCCTGGCTGGCTGTTTAATGATAAATTGTGTCAGCAGTGACAAAGCACGTCCTCCTCTCCAGAAACCTTTCTCTGGGTGCAGCGTTGTCAAGAGAGGCTGGTGTAATACCTGCATCCTTGGCTTAGTAATTGGAGTGGGTGGTTTTCTTTTGAGAAACTCCCTCAGCTTGGCAGCAAGGGGAGGATTCCCACTGTAAATGACAGTCTGTGTAGCGTTGCCCTGGCTTCTGGAGCTTGATGGATGTGCTGTCCCTGGGGCTCCAGGTCTGGGTGTTTCCCTGAGCGTAGAGGAAATGATTCTTTTTTTTCTTAGAGGAGCTGGGTATGGAACTCGAAGTGAATGTAAGCTGCAGAAGCTGGTGTGTGCAGGCTGGTTTTGTACCTGAAAGGTTCACCTCAGATCTTGTAAAGCAGGTCTGGAAATGTAAAGGAAGGAGAAAAGAGAAAACTAAGTGTGAAATAAGCCCAACTGCAGCCTGCTGACTCCTGTTTGCGATGGGCAGCAGAAGGTGCCACGTGTCCCGGGTACTGATGTGACCCCAGCTACGTGTTGTTCTTGTATCAGGTTGCCCTGTGCAGTCTGAAGGAGAGATGAGGGATTCTCCTAAGATTGCCTTGGCTTGTTCTGGCACCTTTTACAGTTGGTGCTGACAGGTGGGTGCTGCTGCTCCACTCACAGGACCCTTCTGTTCCCTTTCTAGTCGCATTTGTTTCATCTCAGATGATTGCTGCTTCCACAGAAAGCTCCTGGGCTTAATTTCTTTCCATGATACCTGCATTCTATGTGGCAGATCTGAGCTCCCCTGGGAAATGTGGGCTGCAAGTGAGGAAGCAGATTCCCCGTAGACTGTCCAATGCAGGAAAATCCTGGCCAGTGCTGATCTACAGGCTGTGAGTTGTGCTATAAACCCATCAGCATTCACATCAGGATATGTTACTAACCCTGTGTAGGAAGAGATGGTCAGGATCCTTGTGTGTAGAGAAAAGAGCTGTTTGTAAGGAATTTTGTGGTTCCAAGCAAAATACATCCTTTGTTGCAGTTGCTCTCTAGCTGTGATGATAAACTCCCAGGTTTCTTCTCTCCCTGCTACCAGTTGGATCAGTGTCTTAACAAAATTCTGCCTTTACGTCTTCTGCAGGTTTTGGCTTGTAAATGTATCTCTGCATCTGTTGGGTTGGGAGGATTCGGGCTCCTTCGATGGAGAAGTTGCAGCCACTGCCTAGTTTCACTGGCTGCGAGCAGCTTTTATTCTCACTCTTACAAGGGCCTTTTGCCATTTCTGGCTCTTGAGCGTTCCCTCAAGCTGCGCGAGAACCGAGTCTCCAGCAGAGACTTTGAGAAGGTCACATCGCTCACAGGATTAATTCCTGTTTCTCTGGATATAGTTTTACAAACCTCTGGGAATTTGAAGGTGATTTGGGGCACTTTCTCCTTTGTTTCCTACTGCTTCGTCAGGGGTGGAAAACCTGCCTCGGTGTTAGAGGTGAGGATCTGAAGTGCTATTACTGTTCTGGTGAATAAGCTATAAAAAGTAGGTTGTTTCTGAGCAGCCTGTTAGAGGTGTTCGTGTCGGCATTAGCAGAGGGAAGAGTTGACTTGGATCTCACCCCGTCACGCGGAGCTGGGAGAGCAGAAGGGTGGCAGTTCTGAGCCTTGGCGTGTGGGCAGAGGTGAGCTGAAGCTGAAATCATGCACCCTTTGCCGAGCTGTGCAGAAGGAGAGCGTGTACTTAACCTTGCAGACAGAGGTTTCCAGCTCGACGATGCAGATTTCTGGGATACCTAAAGACGTCAGGAGTCGGTTCGGCATCGGGGTGGCTGGTTTATCTTGGAGCTGGCTGTTAGGCTGGTACAGCCAGTATGTTTTGTATTCTCCCGTGCAGCCTAAAGGGATGAGAGAGGTCCCCTTGGGCAGCTGTTTCAGTTGCTTGTCCCTAAAACCAGCTCTGCTTCAGCTGCAAATGGATCCATAGCGCTGATTGTGGATCCCTCCTTCCTTCAGTGTCCCTGCTCACCTGAAAAAAGAAAAATCCTGAAGCTTTACCTAACTGACTTAATAGTTTTTGCTTTTTTGTTTTTTAAAGGAAGATTGAAAATCCAGACTGTATCGAATGCGCTATGAGCACTTGGCCTGAGACCTGAGTCACTGTCTCCTAAGTACAGACGCTGACTCTGTAGCTGGTCTCCTCCCTGTAACCTGCTGTGTTGGGCTGGCTGAGTGTGTAAATGCAGTGTAGGTATGTTCTACTGCTGTGTCATAAAATGCTTTTAGTAGTTGTTACCTGCAGCTTAAATCCCCCTTGATGGCAGGAGCCTGCTGGGGAGTGCAAGCCCGTGGATAGCGGCTGGCAGGCGTGTTTTGCTCGGTGCAGGATACACATCTGCCTCCTCACTGGGCTGAGGACCCGCTGGGTGGCTGTTGGCACAGGTTGTGCATCTGCTCTTCTCCAGGCTAAGGTGATGGTTCTGCTTGTAGCTTGTCCCTGCTGAACTCTTTCAGTGGCAGCGTTAAGGGTCTCCCTTCCGAAGGCAAGACCTGCTTGACTGGCTGGAGAGAAGGACTTTGCAGAGGCTTGATGCCCTGCAGGAACTTTTCACAGCTCAGCTTTGCCCCTGTAGTAGCCTTTTTTTATTTACAGCGTACCTGATTGGCCTCAAAATGTCAGAATGTGCTAGTCCTGATTAAAGGCAAAACTGCTGATACGCTGTGGCTTTATTCTGTCTTGAGCAAAGGCAAGGAAAATAGCAAATTTGGTATTAATGCTCCTCCTCTGCCTTTTCACCTTCCGTTCCTCAAAGCCTGGCAGGCTTTTGTGGCATTTCAGAAGAAAATTCCCTCCGGTTTGGCTTAGGATGAAGAAAGCCACTAAGACGGTGATTTTGGAGAGGCTGGCATAAATGCTGTGGGTGCTGCTGCGCCTTTGCTCGTTCCTCTGTGTGTGGCTACATCAGCGCTTTTGGAGAGAGGCAGAGTAACATGGGAAGGAGTTACAGCTTGCAGCTCTGAAGGCTTTGGGAGAGGGGAATGAAGAAGAGGAGTGCAGCCAGATGTAGTGGCAGGCGGTTTGGGTCTGAGCGTCGCCCGTGGCCGTGGGGGATGCGACTGTAGCTCCGTTCCAGCCTTCCCTCGCGGTTCCTGGGGGCTGACAGTACAGTATTTTGCTGTACCACCCCCCCCCGTGCAATATGTTTCGGTGCATACCCTGCTTGTTTCCTGAACCCTAGCTGCCCAGCTTGTTGGGATATTTCTGGGAGCTGCTGACAGGGATAATGTGCGGTGGTGCCGTGCAGATGGTGATAAATTTCTGGTGCCGACGTGTCCTAGTCCTCTTCACTCTCTGGAAAATCTTGGGGACAATTGGCTTCATTTCTTGATCCCAGATGGGTAGAAAGTGCTGGGGAAGATGGAAAGCAACTTGTCAGGGGTAGGAATACTCTCTCAGCAGAAGCCTCTTGGAATAAATAAAGTGCTTGCAGTTGGGTTGCAGAGCAGCGTTGCCTCGATAGCCACAGCAAGACCTAGGGCTTAATTCTAGACTGGCTTACGTGCTCGGGCTGTGTTGTGCTCCTAGATCATGCTTTCTGTGTTGTCAAAGCACATGGGTTTGGCCAGCTGGAAAACAGAAGCATCAAAGATCCTCGTCCACTCAGTTTGTTTGCCTTGGGCTTGATTTCATAGCTATAAATACGCTGAGATCAGGCGTTGTGGTTGCAGGAGACTCACTGCAGTCCACATGGACTTGTCAGGCTTTTTGTTTTTCTTGAGGAGGAGGAAAAGGGATGGAATTACTTGTAACTTTGGCTGTCAGCTTACCTCTGGAGTGAGCAGTGCGTGCTGCCACAGCTGCTCTGGAACAGGACAACAGAGGTCAGATGGCAATTAGTTAGGAAACTTGTACTGGAGAGAAAGCAAATTCATGCGCAAGCTTGCTTGGAGGTGTAAGCTACAAGAAAAAAAAAATACAAAACCAAAATGCAGCTGGCTCAATGTTTACTTTTAAACAAGGATGGCTTTTATGGCTTCTTATTAATTTAAAACTAGTGGAACTTAATGGGAGTGTTGGGTGTTGTGTGGAAATGGGTTGTATAATCTCAACTTGCTAGTTTAGGAAATGATAATATATTAACTCTGTCTTGTAGCTGGTTGCTCACGTGGCCGATAATCTTCTGTTGTGTTCAGCTGCCAAAGGATTGCGTGCTGGCCTTCGCGCTGCTGGCCAGACGGACAGCCTAACTTACCAGTTGGACAGTGAAATATTTGAGATGTGTGATCAGGCGGTGGAGTGGAAGATACGTTACCAAACTGTGAGTGCCACTGATTTTTTTTTTTTATTTTTTTTTTTTTTTTTGTGTGTGCGCGCTGAATTAAAATGTATGACTCTGGGTTTTGTTTGGATTGCAGTCTTTTTAATTTTTGAGGAAAAGAGCACTCGGATAGACTGTTCATTAGTTTAATTAAAGCAATCTGCACTTCTTTTCATTGACTAATACTCTTCCCCTAAGCAGGTGTCCCCTGTTTCCTTGTGTATTTTGCACTCACCACTTTAATGTGACACCAGTGGATTGATCTGGGCATCTCCTGTAGGCTATGAGTGTAAATAAGTCTCAAAGTACTTATTAAAAATGAAGGTGAAACACCAGATCCCTGCTTCATAGAGGGTAGTGCCGAGGGAAAAGGTGAGCTTTTCTTTCTGAAATTCCATTTGACATCGAAGACCTCAGTTTCATGCCACAAATATTCTGTGTGGAACATGATAACTGTAGTTTAAACAACTCGCCTGCCCGGTCTGCTCCCCTCTCTGAGGGATGGGGCTTTGCCTGTCCTGTGTGTGGGTTTGAGAGGAACGGGCTGTATAAAAGCCAGATGTGACTTTGCAACACTTGACCTACTTCATCCCAGGTATCAGAAAGCCGAGCGAAAGGCGTGTGTTACTTTTACACCTGATCATTGTTACCCAAGGAGCGTTTTCCAATTTCAAATAATAAAAATGAAAGTTTTGTGAACCTACTTCTGTTTGCCTCTTTTTGTTCCAAAGGAAAGGAGCGGGCGAGTTCCACCCTGCTGATGTGCAGCAGCCTGGCTTCCACCGTGCGAGTAAGAATTAATTTTCCCGTCTTTGGGTACTTGGTGAGCAGTTAAACTGATTTCCTGAGACACACCCCCCCACACCTCATGCTGTGAAATCCCAGTGCTTCCCTTGTCCCTGTTTTTTCTGTTCTTTCCCCTTGCATCTATCCTGGGGTGCCTGTGGTGCCCAGCTCCCTCCTGCAGCAGGTGCAGGGGCTGGCAGGACTAATGACCTGAGCCCTGACAAAGTCTTTCTGCCCTCCTAGCTGCAGCATTCTCTTTCTGAAAGGAAGCATGTGGTAATCCTAAACATTTTTTTTTAATTATTATTATTATTATTATTATTATTCCTTCCATTTGGTCTGAAAGAGATCAGCTGGCACATAACTCACACGAGGGATGAGGAGGAGGTGTCAGTGTGATGGTGTAAGCCCCCCTTTCTTCATGGAATCGGGCAAAGAGTTGTCTGTATTTCTTACGCCTTTTTTTTTTTATGTTCCCTCCCGCCTTTCAAATTCACACCCGCCTCAGATCTGAACTGCTTTCATTGCTTTTTCCAAAGAGAGTGATTATGGTGAAATGGGAGAATTTGTGGTGTGAGCTCAGCTGCCACCAAGGACTTGTTCATCCTCCTGCAGCAGGTCTTTTTTTTGCTGGGACATGCAGCGGAGTCCCCAGCTGGGCTGTGGTGCTTCCAGTTTTGCAACCCGGTTCTACCAGTCAGTTTCTTGGGAGATCTGTTAGTTTCGAGAACAAACCTTGGCTATGCAACACTAAACTACCAAAGTTCATGCATGAACTTTTAATCTGGAAGTGGCTTTGCTTTAATGCCGGTAGTTAATCAAGGCCAGAGTGCACTGTCTCTGGGACCTCTGTGAACGTGTGACCTCTTCCATTTCCCCTTTTGTTTTTTTACCACCGATGCCTTCCCCTAATCCCATGCATTAATTTTTCTGGTGCTGAGGGCACATCTGACCCCACTCCTTTATGTGAAGCGTTCTCTATACAATCACACACTCTTTCAAGCCTTAGCAAGGGAGAATAGTAAAACATGTCTAATAAGCACACAGTAACTCCTACCATATGTTTGGCCTTCGAGGAGCACAAGTGTAGTTTCTCATGTGGCAGCATTTCTGAATACCAACCACATGTACCTCCCAAATGCTGGCTTGCAGCCCTCCCTCTCCTTCCAAAGAAACTCAGAGATGTGAAGGTTTGGTGCGGGGCAGCTTAACACCTCCCGGCTCACCTCCTTTGCTGCAGCCCCTGGCCGAGGAGCGAGGAGGTATCTGTGACCCAGCAGAGGTGTTCTTCAGCAGATGGATTCCTCCTCCCGGCTTGGTGATGGATGAACTGCTTTTTCCATTTGCTAGGGATAAAAGGCCCCAAGTGTCACGGCCAGTTAAGGGCTGTTAGCTGTGGAACAAGCGAAGGGTTGTCCCTGTGGTTGTTAGCTCAGAAGCTGAGGCCGTGCAAGGGTAAGTTTTTTTCCCTCTCCGGGAAGACGGTTGAACAAGCACATCCCACACTGGCGTGGGGACTGTGTTTGCAGCTGGCTCTTTGTCTCCTCTCAGGCCTGAAAGAGAGGCCACTGCTGCCGTTTGCGGCGCTGCTGCTTCTTACTTGGCTTGTTTCTAAAAACCACAAGGCTTTGGTGCCTTCCCGCGGAGTCAGAGGTCTGTCGGTTCCAGCCAGGAAGGAAGGTGGGTCTCCCTCCTTAACGCTGCAACTATGTGCCTGAAAATCCGTTCCCTGGGTGAGCCCAACTCCTGGCAGCAGCTGGAGACCTCACCCTGGGGTAAGGATCGGGGGTGTGAAAGCAACACCAGGTTTTCCCATTCCCTCTCCTTTCTGCCTCATGCTGCTTTTACTTTTTGACGGGCAGGGCTGGAGCCTCATGCTGACTGACCGGGCAGGCGAGCCAAACTTGAGGTTGACCCAGACGTCGTGTGAGCTCATCCAGAGCAGCAGCACCCTTGAGCTGTGTGAAACACCCTCCTGCACTCTGTCTCGGTCCTGCTCCTTCGGGAACGGGCTGGAACAGAGGCTTTTATTCAGTGCTGCTTGGGAGGGTTGGGGTTTTTTTGCTGTTTTCTGCTTGTCAGCCATCTATTTTACCTTGAGCTCTTTTCCCTCCTGTGAGAGGGGAGCATCATCTGCCTCCCCCAGCTGCTGCAGGAGGGGATGGAGGGGGACAGACCCCCCCCCAATCACTCCCAGGGGCTGCGTTAGAGGCTGGGAGCCCCTGTGTTGAGTCTGCTGACCAGGAGAAGAGGGATCCTTGATCCAAGAGCTGGCATTTCCCAGCTTCCAACCCTTTGGAGGCACTTAAATGGGGGAATATTCAGCTGTTCCAACTCGGGTCTGCCTTCTCTTTTCCACAGACTGGGAGGAGGAGGAGGAGTGTGGGCTTTGCTGTCCCCCTTTCCCAGCAGGGCTCTGTTTCTTCTTCCTCTTCCCACTGCAAAAGGTTAATTAGCGGCAAGATCTGTAAGGCTAATTAAAGACGCCAGAGCTCTTTCTGGGGTTCCTTGGCATGCCCCCCTCCCGGGGCTTGCACGCCGCCCTCCCCGCTGACCCGTTCGTGTGGTAATCCACGTGTGGGCCGGTCCTGCGTGATGGTCCCTGTTCGTGGGTCCCCGGCGCTTGGGGGTGAGCCTTGGGGACCCGGGATTTAATGTCACAACGACCCTTAAACATCCCCCCCCGCGCCGCCGTGGGGCCGCGGAGCCGGGCGGTGTTGTGGCGCGTCGCGCCCGCCAGGGGGCGCCCAGAGACTGGACACGGACACTCGTGGTACCGCTCCCCCCTCCCTCCGCGGCGGCACGGACACGCGTGGGACCGACCCTTCCCCACTGGTGGGGCACCGAACCCCACACGCCCACCTCGAGACTCTCGGGACCGGGCTCCAGGACTCGTGGGGACACTCGGGGACAACCCCACGGGACGTGGGTACCCCACAGGGACTCAGCACCCCCCCAGGATGCTCCACCGCTGCCCTGCGGGTCAGCCTTCCCCACGGCAGTGCCCCGATGCGTGGGGGGGGGGGGACGGGACGGGACACCCGCGTGGGTTTGCCAGTCGCCACACCTGGAGGAGCCCAGGCCCAGGGGGGTGTGGGGGACCTGTTTCTCCCACGGAAAACGAGTGGGCAGGGCTGAGGCGGGCGACGACGCGCTGACCTCTCTGGGAACGCAGCAGGAGGCGAAACAAAACCCTGCGGCGAGGGCGATGGGAGTCACCGGCCACCCGCTCCCTCTGAATTATTCAACAAGCGTTCTTCCTTCCCTCCCTCACCCCGTGCTCTGCCTCCCTGTCCTTCAGCCCACGCTGCTGGTGGCCCCAGTGTCCCTCCCCCCCCCCCCCCAGTGCAGGCAGGGCCCGGACTGGGTGGGGGGACGATGCTGTTCCTCCCGTCGGGGCTCCTGGGCTGCTCGGGGATCGCCCTAGGAAAAGCGCAAGCTGGAGCATCTTTCCTCCCACTCGTGCTCTCACGCCACCCTTCTCCACTCAAACCCAAGCACACCGGTTCCCATCAGCTGTCTCCATTCTGCTCAGGTACCGGGGAGGGGGGAAACAACCCAAACCCACCCAACCACTGTGAACGTTTTGTGCCTCCCCTGAGCCGGGAGGATGCAACTGCTTTAAATTTATATGTAAATGTATTCCTTTCCCTCTCTCCTTTTCAGCCCTGTCTCTCCTCTCTTGGCAGTGTTTTTCTCCGTGGTTGGCTTCTCCCGGGGCGGGGGGAGGCTTTTTCTCACCTCCTCATCCCTCTCCTCACCTCTAGGAACCCAAATTAGTCACTATTAGTTCACAAATTAGGCTGGGGCAGGTCTTGCAGCTCACCCTGGCGCTGTGCTGTCACCGCTCTTCCCACGGAGTCTCCTCTAACCCCACGTCCCTCAATCCTCGCTACCACAATACCCGAGACCCAAATGTCCTTTCGGCACTGACCTTGTTACCTGCTTCAGTGCGTTTATCCCACCCTTGCTCCCAGCATATTAAGGGGGGGTGGGTGTGTGTGATTTGCAGCCAACAGCCTGATGTCCCGTCATCCCGGCTGGAGGAGGCGAGCTCCCTTATCTGTCCCTGTGTCGGCAGTGCCAGCCCTGCCTGGCTCAGCCCCCCTGCACGTCGCTGCTAATTAAAAACAAACGAGGAGGGGCCGGCTGGCAAGTGATGAACTGGATGGCTGCGACGGATCCGCTCCGTTTAGGGGTTCTGTGAGTCACTCAAATAATGTGGAAATTTAATATTCTGCCACTCTGAAAGGGAGAGATCTCGGATGTTATTTGTGCTTCTTCTGAGCATCTTGCTTGCTGTAAAGGGGAAACCTGCCCTCGCTGGGACCCTTCCCAAAGGCTCCGGCATGGATAACGCATTTGTTTTATCCATGACATCTTGGCTTGTGCTGGTTCGTTAGGGAGAAGGTGCCAAATTGGCCCTCCACCACGCGGTGCCTGACACGAGGGCAGCTGGAGGCAATCACCAGCCCCGGGGTGGGGGGAGCCTTCTCCTCTCCAAAACAAGCAGATAACGGTGGCGACGGGGACAAAATACGGCTTAGAGCTGGCCGCCAGCTGGGAGCCAGGCAGACCGAGGCTGTGCCCCGGCCCTCGCCGACAATTCCCCTCCACTTTCTTTGTTTTCTCTAATTGCACAGCGAGGCCTCCCGGGCACAGCCTGTTTCTTCCCCCGCGCTGGGACGTGCTGACCCGGGGAACGAGGAATACAACCTTGGAAGAGGGATCTGACCAGTTTGGGCTTCGCCGGGGAGCGATGCTCGGCGAGCCATGGCCCGTGGTGGTAACTCTCCTCTCCAGAGCTTTGCCCCGGGGTGGGGTGTCAGTACCCTGGGGTGAATGGAGGAGTTGGGGCAGCACTGAAGGGAGGGGTCCCCGCTGGGGGCTCAGCAGATTTATCGCTTTTCTTTAAGC